GCCTGTTGGAACTCCAACTAATAATCATGCCCCACATCACCCTTGTGTACAGGTCTATCAACAAACTCAAAGACATCTAATTGGTCAGTGAGACAGGGATTACTTTTACAAGAGCCACACTGAAGTTTTTTTTCCCTTCAGAGGTCTGGAACATGATAAGGAAATGCCATGTATGTAACTTATTCTAACAATACTCTGTGTACTCTCCGAGTGGCTATACCATACTTGTGTAAGCCTGACGCCAAAGGTGTTACCATGTGGAAAGACTGCTTTAGTAGTCCTGCTTGGTCACATATTGCAGAGGGAAGAAGCCATCACTTGTACTATTTTTTAAAGGCCCTGCATCAAGTAAATTCAATTTTGATTGATTGGGTGATTCTATATAGGCGAAAATGAGAAATTGGGAAATGACCGTGGATTGTTAGAAACGCAAAGAGGCAGCTGATGGAGAAGGTCTGCTACTTGGTGCTATAGAAAGACTAGGAGAAAGTTGAGGAGAAAGTAGATAGTTGAGGTCATAATTTAAGCAGTGTTTTCTCTGTGGGACAACCATAGAAGGTAAAGGTCAGGGGATTGTCCTAAGATCTTGCCAGATTACACAAACAGGTATTATAACCCAGATAAACTGTCCAAGCAGCCAGCAATGCAGCAGGAGGAGCTTTGGGGACCAAACGACAGTTGGATCAGGCTTGGAATGTATTTGGCTGAAGTGGAGATTAAGGGAATTCACCCTGAGGTAAAAGATGCCATTAGGAAAGCAAGCCTAAGGCTCAATGATTGCCTAAGTCTCCATGATTGCATCTGTGGACTCTGTGTTACTTTATATTTCTAGATCCATTGTTCCGGGACAACAGTCTGACCTCAAAGAATTGCACTGGTTGGAAAACAACACCCTGATAGGGGTGTTTTGGTGAGTGGGTGGGAGGGCGGGGGGGGGGACCAAAGAGGCAAGGATATCTCATAACTTGAAACTTCCCCATCCTCCTTCCCTCACACTCTGAGATGGGGAAAAAAACTGCTCAGCAAAATATGCAGAGAGGGAATAAAAGGAGGCAAAGCTTGCTTCTGCCTTGCCTCCCACTCTGCATAGGAGGCCAAAAGCCTCCCACTTTGGGACTTATGGGCAACAGAATACATTTGTGCCCTTAGAGGCCTGTATAAGCAACAATGACTCTTGAGCCCTTAAGAAATGTCAGCAAGCACGCTTTGGAAACCCCTGCACATTAAGTACAACATCTCTCTAACCAATTACGTGTCCCTCTGAGGATTACAGTCACCCAGTGGAAGTTAGGAGAAGAACAAATGTTAAGATTGCCTCTGCACTTCCCTTGTCCTCCTAAACTTTTAAGTGACTGTTTTGTCTGTCTAAATGTTTCTCCACTACTCACTGCCAGGATCCTTCAGAGGACTATGGAGCCTTACTTTACCTCTTCCTGCCCCCTGGAATGCTACACCAAACTCACTCAGAAGATGGTCTTCAGAGCCCAGCCAACACAAACAAACAAACAAACAAACAAACAAACAAACAAACCACACTGGCTACAAAGGCAGAGGGAGGGAACCAGTGTGGTCCAGCTTCACCCTATCTGATGGTGCCCTAGACAATGACAGGAAGCCATAGGATTAAGTGTTGGTGCCCATCTCATGTGTAAACCTGTAAAAGAAAGCTGCCAGGAGCTTTTAAAATATTCTAAGAGAACTGGTGACAGCAGGAAAAGGTCAAAGGGAACTCTATAATATCAGAGAGTCCCTTAGGCCCTTAAATATAAACAATTGCTAAAAATAAGAAAAAAAAGGTGGAATTGTGCAATGAAGCAGCTCTTCCATAGGTGGTAGAACTGTCAGAGATAAAATCTCCCATGCATCATTTCTGCTATGGTCCTACTTGTTTGCCACGTAACTGTTAAAAAGGAAGAGTCTGCCATTAAAAAGTTACAACCCACATTCATTAACTGCATAAACATGGGTGACTACACAAAGATTCAGGCAAAGTATTCAGAGCCATCTGTCTTCAGACTCTGTAACTTGATTATAGAAGACCTCTGTTTCAGAAAAGGATTTGCTCTTGTCATACACATACATGCCCTTCTGTGCAATAAATTCAGTTGTCTGTAAGCATAAATCCACCATCCCTGCTGTTGACAGCACCCTTGACTCTAGTAATAATTACTTCTAAATAGCCAGAAGCACAAACATCTCAAATATAGGTTGATGAAATAACCTATAATAAGGAAATAAGGAAGGGATACTTTACAACTATTTCTGTACAGGAGCTTTCCTGTTTTTGCAGTACTATTTCCTTCATGTTTGTACCTTAATCTGGTACAATCTGGTAATTTGCTGTGCCTTTGTCAAGGAGTTTGTATGTCCATTATCACATAATTGAACCTGGGGGTTGAAAGTCAGAGGTAAGCAGAAAAATCTGATAAGGTCTTAAGAAAATGAGAGGAAATCCATTTTGGGTTTCAGGAGAATGAGGTAACACATTCAACAAATCTGGAGATCTGCTTTTGGATATTTTAAAGATTTCCCTGAAAAAATTGATATTTTAAGAACTTTTCTTGTGATTATTTGCTTCTATTTCAGAAGAACTATAACAATGCAACAAAGACAAGAAAAAACCCCTTTATAAAAATGCAAATAAAGTTATTTGTACCAATGACATTTTATTTCATTGTGTTTTCAGTGGTATGAAATTCAGAGTATGGTTTCCTTTAGGAGGCCACTTGAGACAGATTAGTGCTTTATAATGTTTGCAGTTATTTACAAATCTGGAAGTACAAACGCCTTGGTTCATGAACAAATCGGGTCACAAACAAAAATTTCTGAAAAATTTTGACTTGGGTCGCAAACACCGCTTTGGGTGGCGACCAAGATCGCAGCCATATCCTCCCCCCCACCTGAGTGGGGAGATGGCCTCGATCACAGTTCCGTTTGTGCAGGGAAGGCGTGCCTGATCAGAGGCGCGCTCCTGCAGGAAAGACAGGCGGAATCTCAACCATCTCCCCTGCGGCTCTGCTTTGCTGCTCCCGTCTTTCCTGCAGCAGTGCGCCTCTGATCACAAACGGAACTGCGATTGTGGCCATCTCCCCACCCCCAGCGCACCGTTTGCACCCATCTCTCCCTCCCCCAGTGTGCCCACGATCACGCCTGTCTCTCCCCCCCATCCCCCAGCGCGCCGGGATGACGGGCGCCTGCAGGGATGACAGGCGTGATCTCGGTCATGCTGGGGGAGGGGGTGGGAAGATGGCCACGCTCATGCTTGGGGTGGGGTAGATGGCCGCGAACTTTGTTGTTGTCACTTTGCTTCACATTTTTCTGATTTAAAGAATGGTTACAGAACAGATTAACCTTATTTACATTGAACCTTATGGGGAAATTTAACTTGGCTCATGACCAATTTGGATCACAACCAGAGTCCTGGAACGGATTAATTTCGTGAGCCAAGGCACCACTGTACAGCTTAAATACTCCAATATACATCCTTAATCCACTGCTCCTGCATCAGTTTTCTAGGGGTCACAGCAGGCATTACTTTAAATCTGTGCCTTGCCACTTTTTTGTTCCCTTTTTACCTAGAATAGCTTCAGAAGTCCCATTCCAGCTCTTAAAAAACATTCTCCCCTCCCTACCAACATACTTTAGAGCCCTAATCCAAATCAGGCTCCTTATCTCATCTATAGTAAAAATAGAAAAAAGATGGAAAGTGGGAAAAGGACACATATTTGAAATAATATTGTTTTGGTGCTCAGATATGTCAAATCTTTAGAAAGGTGCTTCTACAAAAGGGCAAATTCTGCCCTCAGTTTGCCCCAGGCTGCAGCCTGCATACCTGCAAAGCACGTATATATGTGTAAACACCTTCCCCCATTCCTTTTGGCAGGGGTGAGAAAAAATCCCCATGAGTCATCTTTTCTGGCCATCTCGCCGTCTTACCTCCCATGCAGAGAACTCACCACCATGAGCAATCTTTTGTCAAGCCAACTTACTTGTGCCCTTAGGAGGCACAATAAGCTGGAAATTCATATTATGGGATAACTGGTGAGTGGTGTAATTGTTAGAGCATTGGAGTGGAACTTAGGAGATCTGGGTTTTTGTCCCCACACAGCCATGACACTCATGGCATTGGGCCAGTTGCCGACTCTCAGCCTGACCTACCCTACGGATTGTTGTGAGGGTAAATTTGAGAGGAGGGTTAAATAGGGTGCCTTGGGTTTCTTGCAGGGGAAAAAAGGGTAATATGTAAATGTAATGCATGTATGTTCCTGAGAAACAATCATGTGCACACCTGGGGGGGATTAGAGTTACCTTCCAAACAACTTATATCAGATATTGATACCATCGGATACCATCGACCAGGGTACGCTTCTGGGGTGCCTGTCAGTAGTGAGTGGGCAACACTGGCTGGCTAGCTGGCTCCAAAGGGTGGTACTAGGGGAATATTACTCGGGCCGGGGATTCTCCTGTATAGAGTACCTCAGGGGTTGTTTTGTCCCCCAGGCTATTCAACATCCACATGAAACCGCTGAGTGGGGTCACCCGGAGTTTCGGCTGACCCACAGCTCAGTCTCTACATCCTCAGCAGGCGTGACTGCGGACGTGCTACACTGATGTCTGACCGCAACAGTGGCCTGGATGAGGGCTAACAGTCCAAAGCTCAATGCGTGTTCTACCTGTTCAGGAAGCGGTCACACTAAAGAAGCGGGCTCACAGCTTGGTCGCGCTTCGCTTCTTGTTGCAGCTGGGATCAAAAGCCCCCAGTGCGGCAGGACGCAAGCCGGGAAAGGCGGGAAGCGTCGGCGACGGAGGGCCCCCAGTTACCTCACTGCAGCCACTTCGTTCTTCTCCGGCGGCGGCGGCGCGTGCGTCGCTTCGCTTCGCTTCCCTTCCCTCTCGCCCTGCAGGGCGGCGCTGGAGTGGGCGTCGCTCCGCGTGCGAAGGGGCCGGATTTCTCCCAGGGCGCGGGGAGCGAAAGTTGGTGGCGCCGCAGCGCGCCATGGGGAGGAGCCCAGGTGCCTCTGACGGCGGCCGCAGGTGCTCTCAGTCGCTGCTCGGTCAGCTGCAGCGGGACCGGCCTGGAGGAAAAAGACGTGGAAGATGAAGGGGCCCCACCGACGAGGGCGCGTGGTTGAGGTAAAGTCCCTGTGCGACTGTACCAAATGCTCTGATGGGGTGGGCTGACCGGGGTTAGGGGAATGAATAGCGGCTGGAGGCGAATTGTGCCGAGGTGGAGTTGCTGCCCTAAAAAGGAATCCGGCGCGTCCAAGTCTTTGTGTGAGACGCGAAAGTTCAACAGGTGCAGAATTTTTCCAACGGGGATCTGCTGTTTTGAAGGACGCCGCACCTGCTTGAGTTTTACCTGTCCAGAAGACGCTGTTAAAGGGCACTGTGAGCGAAGAAAAGATCTATTAAGTGGGGAAAGCGCCTCTGCTAGTAAGGGCATCGTTTTCCATATGGGAACTTCATTGGAATAGCTTAAAAGTCAGTTGGTTGAAGTTTGCTTTCCTTCTGAAAGTTTAGTAGTTTCCCTCCATTGATCCCTGTCATCCCTTCCTACTTCAGTTTAGTCACTCCCTTTTTATTTTTTTATTTTTTTGAATTATCACATTTTTTTTTAGTGTTATCAGTATCAGTTAAAATAATTATTTATAGTTTAGGAACTATATGTAAAGGGTACATGCAAGGGTACAGAATGTAATAATTCTTTAAAGGTTGTTCAGAGTAATTGTATTTCTATTCTGCCTCTCGCTGTGTAAACTTCTAACCAATATATAGAATATTTGCAAAATTCATTTACCTTTGGTGAAGAATCCATTTGTATTGATTTGTTCTACTGTCCTTATTTCCTTAAATGCTAGGCCTTCAGTGTAGAGAATATTAACCCAGAGAAGACCATAATGGAATGGTAGAACTGAAGGTCCGAGGTTAAATCCTCACCATTTCTAGGCAAGACAAGTAAAGCTCTGTCTGAAACCCTGGATAGGTGCTGCCAATCAGAGTCAACAATATTGGCCTAAATGGCAGCTTCCTATGTTCATTTGTAAAGTCTACTGAAATCAGTGGGGGAATTTAGTAAAGTCTTAGTGAGTCTTCATGACTAACTTCTACTGATTTTAATCAGATACTGTACAAGACCTAGGGTGACAAGGCTTGTTCGGAGTGGTATACTGAGGACACAATCCCATGTAACCTTAGTGTGCAGTCCTGTGGGGATGTGCATAACCCCCTGAATTTGCAGGATCATGGGCATCCTATGGAGAGTAGGAGAAGCATGAAGACAAAGGTGGCCACAGTGCTTACCTTTCCCTGTAAAACACTTGGATGGCTGATCACCACCACTGAAATGGAGAGCTTTGGAGCAGGAGCTGAGATGCTGCCAGGATGCACTGTATCTTGGTGGTGCCAGTCTCCTCCCCTCTCCTCCAAAAGCCTTTCTTCTAAGTCATTCTTATGACCTCGGAGAAACAGCTGGTGTGGTTCTTTCTGTGGTGGTTGTGGCTGGCGCTGTTGGAAATCTGGGACAGATCCCAAAGTCGGAGTGATTTTCCAAACTCATTGCTGGGAATCCAAAAGATCCCATCTTGATACTGTCTAATGGTCATAGGATTGTATTGTAAAATAGGAAAAAAAGTCCTACAACTCCCAGCAGGGTTGATTTGTTATTTTTTAGTTTTGGTCTAAACATGCATAGAGTTGTCCCCTAAAGCTTTAATTGCAGATTAGCTCATCCCTTTAATTAATGGTAACTGTGAAATACAAGAAAATTTTGATGGTTTATTACATTTCAATACCATCCAAGGCCCGTCTGTATAGCATACCATGTGACCCTGTATGCTATACAGATGATCCTGATCTCTTCTTTGATGTTTGTATCTGAAGCTATTATCTTTCAGAGTGAAATGAATATGATGTGGCTTTTCTAATACAAATCAGATATTATTGAAGTTGGCAGTATTTAGATGAAACTGGGACCCTCCTAACCTTTGAATTTTCCACATTGCTCAGAATTTAAAAGTTAAACAAGCTTAGTATTTCTTAGAAGGTGCCTTTTCTTTCTAATAATGAGTGGGAATGTAAGTTGTCATACACTTCCTTCAAGGTCTTTAAAGGTCTTAATTGATGGTTTACAGTGTGTAAACTTACATCCTTTAATGCAAATCCAGATAAACCAATGAATAAAAATCATTAATTTAGAGGTGTCCTGTAAGGGCAGGTTGTATTTCTTTGCAGCTGAATGCTCCAAGCAAGATTCGGAGTGATGCAGACAAGGGCAGATCCAGTGTTTATAGTTCTTTTCAAGAAATGTAGCATAGGTAGCTGTTGAAGCTTTGTAAAGATTTCAGAGACTGTTATGAGCTGAATTATGAGACCATTTTGAATCCATGAGACCTTGGACTTATCCCATTTTCTCTGATAAGTACAACCTGTTATCTCTAATGTGTTTTCGTTTGGTGGTGTGACCAGGTTTGTATTTTTCTATTTTAAAATTAAACAGATATAGTTATTTGTGATGTTCAAGCCACGTTATATATGGCTGGAGGAACAAGACCTTAGTTGACCTATTGAAGAAGACCTGCGCTAACTACCAATGTTTCCCTGCCTGGTACATTGGTGGCAGTTGTTACTCACCATAGGTGGACAGCTTTTGCGAACCTGATTAGGTCCTTCCTTTTATATTGTATTGTAGCATCTCTTTCATTAGACTAGGAATGGGCAACATGTAACCCTCCAGATGTTTTAGCCTACAACTTCCCTCAGTCTTAGCCAGCATAGGCAATATTTATTTATTTATTTATTTATTTATTTAATTTTTCTGCTGCCCAATAGTGGAAGCTCTCTGGGCAGTTAACAAAAGTTGAATGTTGAAATTGTAATTATTTTATTTATATCCCACCTTTTGTCCTTTATGGTGATTAAATCATAAAGTAAAACATGTGAATTTCACTGATAGGAAAACCAGTGAAAGCAACAGGATTGTATGTAGGAGTTGTAACTGCCATGGGCTTACCATCTGGGCTTTGGCTCAGAACAGTGGTTAATATTGCTGCTGTTCAAATGGTTCCATGTGAATGTTTTAGAATTAATAAAACAGGAATAACTTGCGTTTATGTACATATATATCCATGTCACTGCTGTATAGTAAGAACTCTTAAAGTAAATACATTAGTTCAGTCAACTAAACACACACATGCACACACTGCTTTTGGCATCTTCTTGAGTACAGAGGTCTGCTTTGTTCAAATTAAAGGAGAATGTTGTCCAACTGAGATATTTCTTCTCTCCTCATTTGTAGCAGGAGACAACAATCCTGTGCGTGTTTGCTTAAAAGCAAAGGCCACTGTATTCAATGGACCTCATTTTTAGGCAGCTGTGCATAAGATTGTAGCTTTAGTTTGCAAAGAAAACACAGTTTGCATAAATATATTTTACATTTTTGTCTGCCAGTCTAAGTTTCTTTCAAAATTCCATGTATGAGGAGTTGCAATAGCAGAACATTCTGTTCCAGTGCCAGATTATATTCCTATACACGCACTTTGAGCACCTGGCCGGCTGGGTGTGTTCAAGTGTGTCTAGCCATTTGACGTAACTCACTAAAATCAGGCAAGTTCAGTTCAAACTAGTCTTGTAATGTCTGAGCACCTTCTTAATGCAGCTTAAAAGTGAAATCCAGGCTGCTTTATCATATCAGTTAGAATGTATATGAGTTAGATTCTTCTGTTGCTGAGGCTTTTGTGTGATGGGGGAGCAGAATGAATGATGAAAAACCAGTTATGCTATTCAAAAGAATGTAAAGGTAAATAGAAATGATAGTTAAAAGTTAAACACATGTGGTATCTTGATTAAGAGCATGGATCTGGGACTCAGGAGATCTGGGTTCTAGTCCCCACCCCAGCTGGATGACTTTGGACCAGTCACAGACTTTCAGCCTGTCCTACTTCACACGGTTGTTGTTGTGTGGATGAGATTGAGAGCAGGAGAATTATGTAACCTGCTTTGAGTTTGTTATAAGAAAAAAGCAGGATAGAAATCTAATGAATAGATGTATGAATGTAAAGTTGATACAAAATCTTTAATTTAAACCTAAGAGTATGGATGGGACATAACCTACAGCAATGTAATTTTATCAGTATGGGAAATAACTGACTCTGAATAGCTTGTTGAAAAAAACAAAGCAAAACAAAACATAGTCACAATATTTTCCCCCTTCTGCGAAGTGGATTGTATCTAGCGGTATCCATCTGCCAGCCAGCAGACATGCCCCGAATTTCCAGAGAGTGGCAGGACCTTCTAGAACAGATGAAGGGAGGGAAGGAGGGGAAGAAGTCCTTTTAAATGAGCAGAAGTTCATTGGATGTAGATCTCTTTACTTGTTAGTTGAATAGCATATCTCACTTTAAATTGAGTTTTGGTATAGTCAACACATTTATAGCAGTCCAATACATCTCAACTCAAAAGCTGATGGAATCCCATTGAATTCAGTCAGGAGAGGCTTATTCATAGTAACTTGGTATAGAATAGCAATGAATGAGATTTTCTTGTTTCCAAAATATTCAGAAAACATCACAATTAATGCCTTACACAAAGTGAAGTTTTCACATTAAACTACAGTTGTAAAAATCTATTCTAAATCATTGGTGTTGCATGTAATTCTTCTGTGTGTCTGCGTGGAATGTCTGAGTACAATTTCCCATGAGTGTTCATGTATCATAAGAAATGTGTTCTGCCTATTTTATGAGAAATTCAGACTGTCACTTGCTATTAATATGCAAATCACATTTATATTAGCTTTCACCTGAATCAAAGAGCCTGTGTAGTGAAGCAGAATAGACTCATTCACTTCCATTTACCATAGTGGGAACTTGGTCTGCATGCTTCCTTATCTAACTGAATGAACATGTTTACAGGTCATGGAAACAGTGTTATCAGCAGAATAATGATAGTGCATGAATTGGCTGCTTGCCTAATGCAGCATTAGATGTGAGTCTAGAACAACTGATGTTATAGGGAACAGCTAGGGTTGTATAGTATATAATATTTTGGTGGCGCTCTTTCCAGTACAAGATATACATAATACAGTCCTATACTGCTTTTCAGTTAGAACTTGCTAATGTTTGGCTCTATTGGCCTGTGAT